TGGTATGTAATGGATTACAATCAACCAAAAATTATTCAGACAGTTTGACAGTATTTACACAACTATCAATACTTAGTCGGGCAACCTTTAGCCTTAATGACAGCCTGTAGTCTCCTGGGCATGCTGTCATCCAGCTTCATGCAAACCTGAACTTCAATTTGTTTTCCCAGACTCGGTCTGAATAATTTTTGGTCCCAAATTTGCATAAGTTTTACTTGTAATCCACTGTATGAAAAATGTTTGGGTATAATTTGTCACATGTTACTTTATTTTGCTATCCTCACTTACATAAATGAGCAATAGTGTCCTGCATCCACTAGTAAAAAAAATATATAAAAAATTATGGTAACACTTTACTTGAAGGGGTGTGCATAAGACTGACATGACACCTTCATAATCATGACATGACACATGTGCATGTTTATGACAACTGTCATTAAGTGTCATTCACTCAGTTGTATAATTTTTAATGCAAAGATGACATTGTTTGAGATGTCTTTGTTATGGTCTATGGTTAGGGGTAAGGGTGGGGGTAGGGTTAGGTCAAATAATGTCATATTTGCATTACAAATGACATAACTGAGCGAATGACACTTAATGACAGTTGTCATAAACATGCACATGTGTCATGTCATGATTATGAAGGTGTCATGTCAGTCTTATGCACACCCCTTCAAGTAAAGTGTAACCAAAATTATATCTGGTCTCTGAATAATTTTTGGTTTGACTGTATGTCCTTCGGTTATTTTCACACTTAATTATGCCCATTAAAATTTATTTTACAAGTTTTTGTTACTTTCACTTTTTTTGCTCTATGGTACATCATCTTTAATTTAATAGCATTAGAGCTGCTCCATTGCAGCGGCTTAGTACTGTAATCACGTGCTTTGCTGTAATAATGCAGGGAGCCACTCGTTATAAATCTCCTAACTGTGATATTTTCGGGGGGTTTTTTTCATCTGAAACGTGCTGCGATTTATATTCGAAAGCCACTCATATAATGCAGAAACACTCAAGCAAGCAAAACGCGCAACGCGTGTACATATTTGTACTGGTGCAGAATGAGAGGGACAAGTAGTAGGCTGCAGACTAGCGCATTTCACACAGTGAATGCCCCTATAAATGGACTTATTTTTACGTTTTAATCCAAATGATGCGTGTGCTAAGTGAGTGAACATCAAAGATCACACAACAGAAGTGCACGCGCCCTTACCCTTCCCTCCCTACCGTTAAGTAAGTTGTGCATTGTTTTACTTGTTTTTGACACATCCAACCGAACTACAAGCTTTCCAGTGATGTCTGTGAGAAAGGCATATTCACTCGACAAGCTCGCACTTCTGCGCCACCGTGTGCTCAATCCACTCAGAATGCTTTGCTTATCAGCTCCCCCACATCAGCTATACATGCGTTAATACTGAATGTTTAACATTATATTCATTGCATACGTATACTTCGTAGACATCCTTAATCGCTAATAACTCCATTCTGCTGTCTGTTGTTCTGTTGTCGGTGTTTCTTTGTCTGAGTATGGCACTTATCACATGTTGTGTGGTATCAGCGTTTGGTATCGGGGCATTTTAATGAGTACAAGCGCTCAGTATCGGGCCCGATACCGATACCAGTATCGGTGCATCCCTAGTAGGCGTGGTTGACTTAATTAAAAAATAATATCTTTTTGGATTTGAGACTTTAGTCTTTGCAACTTTACAGATCTTCTTAATGCACCAAGAGCTTGTAACACTCCAAAGAGAAAGGAAAAATTGAAATCACATCATATGACCCTTTTAACATACTAATGCACAAAATCTCAGTATGACTTTACATATCACAAAATTAATTTGCTTCTCGTAATTTAACTTCATGTCTCAGAATGTGAATTTTAACAAAATAATACACAATTCATTCTTAGTGAATTCCCCCATGTGTGTTTAAGGTTTTTTCTTTGCTAACACTATTCACTTACTAACTGTAGAGAAATATCAGTAACACAATGGCACTTCCAGTATTATATGAATCCAAGGCTGTGTATCACAGCAGCCGGACCACAAAGGGATCACAATTAATGTTGCTTGATCTTAAATATGGCACACAGGGCTGTTCCACTTCCTGATTGTGAGAGATTCCCGCCAGGGAATGGATATGGGCTCAGCGTGTCTGCCAGCTTTACCCTCAATATGTCAGTGTTAGTGCTGCGGTCCTCTTGTTCCTCTCACCCTCTGCAGTAAAAGAACAGACACAGCCGGTCTGGAATAATGACTTGGGCTGTCACATCAAATCAAAAGGTGCTATCTCAATCAGTGAAGTTTGTGAGTGAAATGCAATGAGACGTGTCTCAGGCCTCTTTTTTTAGAAAGGATTTTAAAGGTTTCATTATGCCACAGCCTTTGGATCACTGTCTTGATTTGATTTTAAGAAATAGTTAATCCAAAAAAGGTTTGGAAAAGCATGACGGTGAGTAAATTATAACAGAATGTTCACTTTTTGGTGAACTATCCCTTTAAATCAGTCTCCAATTTATCCAAAACTCATTTCCCCTTTTATTTGTATTTAATCAACTGAAGATGTGATGACCATAACAATACATACAATTATGCAACAGAGACATTAAATGCTACTTAACTCACTCCTTTGTGGAATTACACGATCACCAAATATTTACACCATCGGCTAATGGAAGCTGTTTGTGTGTCCACATTTCCCAGCTGTGATGTTTTTATTTTGTATAAAGGAAGAAGGAAAATATGCAAACTCCAAACCTCAGCTGCTACTCACAGCAGGCCTTTCAAGACACAAAAATGGTATTATGCAACTATTTTCTGTAGTGCACATGAGATTCGTCTAGTGCTGCGGTCCTCTTGTTCCTCTCACCCTCTGCAGTAAAAGAACAGACACAGCCGGTCTGGAATAATGACTTGGGCCCCCACATCAAATCAAAAGGTGCTATCTCAATCAGTGAAGTTTGTGAGTGAAATGCAATGAGACGTGTCTCAGGCCTCTTTTTTTAGAAAGGATTTTAAAGGTTTCATTATGCCACAGCCTTTGGATCACTGTCTTGATTTGATTTTAAGAAATAGTTAATCCAAAAAAGGTTTGGAAAAGCATGACGGTGAGTAAATTATAACAGAATGTTCACTTTTTGGTGAACTATCCCTTTAAATCAGTCTCCAATTTATCCAAAACTCATTTCCCCTTTTATTTGTATTTAATCAACTGAAGATGTGATGACCATAACAATACATACAATTATGCAACAGAGACATTAAATGCTACTTAACTCACTCCTTTGTGGAATTACACGATCACCAAATATTTACACCATCGGCTAATGGAAGCTGTTTGTGTGTCCACATTTCCCAGCTGTGATGTTTTTATTTTGTATAAAGGAAGAAGGAAAATATGCAAACTCCAAACCTCAGCTGCTACTCACAGCAGGCCTTTCAAGACACAAAAATGGTATTATGCAACAAATTGGCAAGAAGATGGATCTGACAACCATGTTCAATCCACTATTTTCTGTAGTGCACATGAGATTCGTCATTTACTCACCCCCCCCCCCCCCCC